CACCAAATTCAACTTAATCCGAGCCCAAATGAGTTCAAATCAAGGACCCGAAGCACTGTTGAAAAGTTCAAACCACAATTTGTGTTACCAAACGGTTTCCAAACATGACGTGCTTATAGTCAAACCAAGCGGCTCGATGAGACAAATCCAACGAGCCCAAGATCGTTTAATTCTGACATCATTAAGACCTTCAAATGTCTAACGAATGGTACACGATCAAGGGATTCAATATCGGTCGTCCATCCAACCACTCCCAATTTACCCCTGATCTCTCATCTATTTACAGGCCATGCCACTCTAAAAAACTATAAATAGAACCCTCATTTCTCTTGAGAGAGGGACCCAAGCAAGAAGAAGAAGAGAAGAGTAGGAGGAAAGAAACTACTCCTCGACCACCGTCGGAATTCTGCCCTACGTTCGAGTGACGTCAAAATTCTGTTAGATGCCCAAGTGACGTCAGAATTATGCCGGACGCCCAAGTGACATCATAATTTTGCCGAAGCGACACCGGAATTCTGCCCGACGCCCAAGTGACGCCGGAATTCTGCTCGATTACCAAGCTGTGACTCCGGAATTCTAAGTGATTCTGAATTCAGCTCGAACATACAACTTATTTGTAATTAGATTTCAATCCGAAAGTGAAGCATTGCAATCTGATTGTCCTAAATTTTAAGGACGAGTCAGCCTCTTGTACATCAAGTAAACACTATTGGAATTATTTCAATAGGCGTGGCCCCGTGGTTTTTTCTCTTTCTAGAGTTTTCCACGTAAAATTTTTGGTTTTATTTCCCCTATTTCACTACAGGAAAAAAGTCATTTTCAGGCGGCCATTTTTGTTGGAAAAATGCCCAAAATCGGTCGGAAATTAACATTTATGGCAGATTTCTGACTGAAATTATCTCACCGGTAATACACGCGTCGGAAAAGGCCTTCCAGTGAAGAATAATTCGCCGAAAACATTTCCGGTGAATTTTCGATGAATTTTTTGCTGGAAGAATATTTCCAGTGAATTTTTTTGCACCAAAAAGTAAAGAATCCGGCGGATTTTTTTTGCGCTGGAAAGTAAAGAAAACAAAAAAACAAAAAATTCAACTTGACCGGACCCGCCTAGCAAAGCCCACCCGCTACTCTAACATTCAGCTCAGCACTAGCAGCCGCATGAAATTCGCCCAACCACGGCTCGGTAGACCCAGCCCCCGCGTGGATCGCCAAGCCCAGCAGCCCGCGCGAAATGTCTCCTGCGTGGTTCGAACCCCCGCCCCGCCTCCCCCGAACGCTTAAGGCCTTACGCCATCTACCTTCTGGTCATCAAAGGAAAACTGTTAAGTTTGCTACTTTCTTTTATTTAAATCCTAACTTAAAAATACAAAAAATAAATAATTTTTAAAAGAAAAAATATTCTTAAATATAAAAATAAATAATTTAATTTAATAATGAATTATTAAACTAGTTAATTTAATTTCACAATAAAATATTACATTATTTATTATTTAACTTAATTTAATAAAATAAATAATTATAAAATTGTATTATAATTTAAGTTTTAATTTAAATCATTTAATTTTTTTATTTTTAAATAATTAAATTATAATTTAATTTATTTTATTATAATTTAAGTTATTTTTTAAAATATTTAATTTCATAATAAGTTATTGAAATTATTTTTTAAAATTAAAAAAATATTAATTTATGTTGAAAATCCGCCGGAAATTCTATTGGAAAAAATCCATCAGAAATCGAATAAAAAAATATTATGCCAAAAATTTGACAAAAATTTTCTGTCAGAAATCCACAGGAAAATCTGCCGGAATTTGTGACGAATTTACTTTCACCAAAAATTTTGCCGGAATGGAGCTGTTTTCCTATAGTGTTTATGTGCTAGATATATGTATAACGTTGAGATAAAAATTTTCTAACTCTTTCGCTATGTATATTCTAGCCGGTAATAGTTTGGCATCGTCTGTGGGAAATATTATCCCATAATTTTAAGTGTTGTTATGATGGTTAACAGGCTTAGCAGTCGTATCGTTGGAGCTTCTCGCTCCAACTCTCACCAATCCAAAAATCAGTATATAAATCATAGACGCCCAATATCTACCTCTTTTTACCCTAGAGGGCAATTTGCTACTGGTGAAGGAACCTCGGGACCTTCTTAGAAAAGAGAATTCAAAAGATAGAAGAATCTCAAAATGAGATCCTTCAACTCCTACGAGAGACTCGTCAGCCAGCATTACCACAATGGGAGGAGGTTCTTCTCCCTCGAGCTCAACCACTGGCCGAAAATGTTCAACTCGAACATCTTCAAGCGGAGATTCATCTTCCTCCATCAAGAAGACATCCGCAGTCACTCCAGGATAACGAACTTGCCGATACAATAAGTTCTACCCATCATTCTCTCACAACTTGGCAACCTCGCATTCCTCCAGATCTCTTAGAAGACTTAGCCCAACCACACATTGCTGAACTCCCTCGTAATGCCCTACATCATAAACTGCAGAGATTGGTACGGGAAGAGTTCCCTGGAGGAGATATGAGGCACACTCTTCAACAGTGAAACTTTTAAGAGTCATCACCTTTAACTGAAGCTATTTTTCAGTACCCCATTTTGGTTGGCTTCAAACTACCAAGCATCGAGTCCTACGACAGGACGTCCGACCCGTACGAGCATATCGACCACTATAGAACCATCATGCATATTCAGCGAGCCTCGGACGTACTCTTTTACCAGATTTTTCCTGCTACCCTTAAAGAACAGGCTTGAACGTGGTTCTGCTCGCTTCCATCCAGAATGATCCCTTCATTCATCAAGTGGCCAAAATGTTCATCGAATAGTTTGTAGCTAATTAAAAAATTATTAATGATTCCTCCCATCTCTTTAGGATTTGTCAAAATGAGGGAGAAACATTGAATGAGTATTTTCAGCAATTTTTCACCGAGGCTCGACAAATTCTAGGAGTAGACCCCTGAATTATTTAGAGGGGTCTTTATTGGAGGCCTTCATCCTGGCCCCTTCTATTTGGCGTTCATATGGGATACTATTCGTTCATATGCTGGCCTGATTCATCATGTGGAGGTGCAAATCTCGACAGATGAAGCCATAAATGCTAACAGAAAATAGTTTGAACAAACTAATGGGAAACGCAAAGGTGCACCTGGGATGGAAAATTCATCCTCATAATAGAAGAAGCAAGGAAATAATAATCTAACACCTAGGCCTCCATTATCGTGATGGGAAC